TAAAAAAGTTATATATCATCACAAGAAGTGAAATACTTTTTCTTCCATTTATATATTTAAAAAGTTACTAATTTTTATAAATTTGGGAGGATATCAATGAAGATTATAAAAAGAAAATATAGGTGATTTATTCATTCTTTTATGTTTGCTCAATTACTATTAACTTACCATAGTGGGCCCCAGCATAATGGCCCAGGCCTCCCAGCACCCACTCCCATTCCCTGCAAGGTGTGGTGTTTGACTGAAAAGAATGAGGGGTCCCAGGAAACATAACAAGTGAACAGGTGGTTCTCCTCGAGGATGTTGGCATGTGACTTCTACTGAACCAGCTGGGAAGGGATGGCCTCAGACTTTTGGAAGGAGGATGAGGAGTGTTGTGGCTCAAGGTAAAATAAGTTTTGCATGGTTTTACCTAAATCCATGCATGAGCCTCCTCATTTCCACCAATGATAGGAAGTATAATTCTGGAGTTTGATGTAGTGGAAAGAGTGTTCAATCGCTGCTAAGAGAATTTGGTTCCTGCCATTAGCTGGCTGTGTGATCTTCCTTCACCTCTCTGGGCCTCAGTTTCTAAATTTCAAGGTTTCTTTCAGTTCTAATATTCTATTCTGAGCTGTCCGTTTAAGCACCAGAGGCCTCTATTTTTTCCAGCCTGGTTCCCTCAGAAAGTAACTGGTGCCAATGTGAGGGTATTAAATGCTGAAAGTGAGGGTCCCACGTAAACTCTCTCTCTGAAGTTAACAGATCAGTGTAAAATCGTGAGCATACACCCTCCCCCAGGGGAATCCAGGACCTTTCTCTTGGTCTCTATCAGCCCCTCAGAGCAGTGAGGTGCTGCAGCCACCCTTTGTAGGCTGGCTGGTGCTAAAAAGGGGCATTTCATTTAAGAAATCAGATTTTTTTTTTAATGCTAAGTGATATAAGTCAAACCGAAAAAGACAAATCCTGTATTATCTATCTTATATGTGGAATCTAAAATACAAAGCAAAATCAATCTCATAGATAGAGAGGAACAATTTGGTGGTTGCAGGTTGGGGGTAGAGAATGCATAGGCTGTTTTGTTTGTTTGTGGTGTGTGTGTGTGTGTGTTTTTTTAGTTTAAATAAATTGACTAAAATAAATTAGATTCCCAACCCATAAAACACCATATACACTTACTCTGTATAATGGAATTTATGAGTTTCACTCCATACAGCTTCTTGGCTCAAGTTGTTCAGTTTCCTAAGCTTGAATTCAGTTCCCAAGGGAGCAGTATCCTTTTCTGCCCATTCCTCTTTTCCACTAAAATTACAGATGCTGGACAACAGATATGGGGAGAGATTGTTGTCAGGTTTTTGCTCTATTCCTCTGCTTAGAAGAGAGACTAAAAGTGCAGGAAGTATTTCTTCAGCTTATAGGATTTGGTAAGAGGCAGCCTATCTATAAAGTCTTTGGGGGCCTTCTTGGTTTTAATTTTTGGTCATTAAAGAAATGCAATGTTTCTTCCTTCTGATCATATGAATCAATTAGTTCATTTCTTCGTTGAAAGCTGCTATTAGACTGAGAGACTCCTAAGAACTGGGACTATGTCTTCTTCACCTTTGAAGCAGTGTGGCCTCAGGAAAGGAGCCTTGGTTTGGGAGTCAGACAAGCCTGGCTTTGTAGCTTCTTTCAGTGTTAACTTGGCAATGAGTTTACAATGACAACTGTTGGACTTCTCAGCTCACTCTGGGCTCTAAATATTGTGGATGGCAGCCTGTGTTCCCTGCATTCCCCTGCTCCCTAGTACACCTGCTCGAAGAACAGATGCATGTCTCTTGCCCTATGGGAGTGTGAATGCAGAGGGTTATGGCCCATGATTAGACCATCACTTCTAGGAGTTGGCACCTGTGTTGATAGCCCAAGGGAGGACAGGGAATGTGAAGGGGTTTCCCATAACCAGAGATGGTGTAGTGTGGTGGGTTCTATGGGATTAGAGATTTAGCTAATCGTTTCCTTTGGTCATTTTCCCTCAAACCTCTCAGTCGTTACATTCAAAGGCACTTCACAGAATTAACCTTCTCAGAAATGCTGTGGAGTTAGTGACATTATTCTTATTAGTCTATGAATGAGTGAAGTCAGGCTCAGGGAGCTACTTAGGGCAGAACTCAAACTTGAGTTTCTGTCCCTTCATGCACATTGCATCACATTCAGAGCACAACCTCTTATCACCTCCATGGGGACAGATGGTGAAGGGAACACTTGATCTTCAGCTTCTCTGTGCCCTTCAGGTGTAAACTGTTCTCACTCTGCCCCCCTGGCTGTCCTGGAGGTCCCTCTGCAGTGCCTCAAAGGACAACCCTCCCGCCCTCCACACCTGCCTGGGGCTCCTTTTCATCCTCAAATTAAAAAAAAATATTTTATTGATTTTTTTTTACAGAGAGGAAGGAAGAGGGATAAAGAGTTAGAAATATCAATGAGAGAGAAACACCGATCAGCTGCTGCCTGCACATCCCCTACTGGGGATGTGCTCTTAACCAAGGTACATGCCCTTGACCAGAATTGAACCTTGGACCCTTCAGTTCACAGGCCAATGTTCTATCTACTGAGCCAAACCAGTCAGGGCTCCTCCTCAATTTTAACCAAATCCAACATTTCCTGAGCATGTTGGGCACTGTGCTAGCTTCTACAATAGATACAAAAGTAGATAAGAAACAGCTCCTGGGCCAGCAGGCTTAGAGTATAATCCAGAGAAAAGACAATCTTGAAGTAAATAGAAAACATGGCAAAGAAAGATAAACTCTTTAAGGGCGGTGCAAAAGGCTGTGAAGACAATCACAGTAAATGTGTATGATGTTTGTAGGATGGGAAGAAGACTAAATACACAAGAATAAATGCTACTATTGAGGTCATGTACTCAACACTTTATTAATTCTTCTCATAAAAGTTATCTAAAAGAAGTAGTATTCTACTTTTTTAGATGAGAAAATCAAAGTATAGTTCATAGACCCTGACTGTGACCATGTAGCTAGCAATGGGCAAAACTGACATTGAGACACATGTTTTTATGGCCTCCAAGTCAGCCTGATTCCATTGCTCCATCATTCCCTAACCCTCCATTCTAATCCCATGGTGAAGATTTGGCTTCTTTGTTACCACCACCAGCTAAGTGGAAGCTTGGATTCAGGGTCAGATACCCCACTCCCAAGCCTGCCTTCTTTTTTGGCACAGAGTTGCTCAAGAGTAACCAGAAAAACTGGTGAAAGTGTGCATTGGGCAAGGTCTCAATAAAAAAAATAAGGCATGTTTATGTGGAAAGAATGGAAAGATCATTATAAATAAGAGAACCATATGAACTGTGGTTAGGAAGAATCAGGGCTTACCTGGGAGTTGGAAAAGATGGCATAGGGGGTAAGTTAGAGCCATGCTCTGGATAAACTTCAGTGATAGAGCATTTGAAAGGTGGAAAGCCTTTGCACATTCATAGCAATAGTGTTATCAGAGCTGTAGTGTGGGGATAGGGGCAAAGATAGGGAAAGACTGGGAGACAGACAGGACCTGTCAGCCAAGCTGGTCCTAGTGATGGTGGTGGTGGGCAGGGTGGGAACAAAGCTGTTGAATGAGCTCTTGAACAAGAATAAAGCCACAGGAGTGGGAAGTAGAAAAAGGCTGTTTCAAGGAGTGTCCCAAAGGCAGAATCTATAGGAATTAGTTGGTTTTCTCAAGTTGGAGTGAGAACTCAGGATGACTGAGTTTTGCAGCTCAGTGATGGAAAGATGTTGCCTACCTTGACTAGAATGAACTCAGAGATAATCTGGTTGGACTTTTATTTATTTATCTATTTTTTAAAATTTATTTTTATTATTGAAAGTATTCAGTTATCCCTTTTCCCCTTAATGATCCCCTCCTTTGCACCCTCCACCCCCATTCCTACCACACTACTGTCTGTCCATGGACTATTCATATATATGCATATAAATTCTTTGGTTAATTTCTTCCTTCCCTCTGGCCCTTCTGAGATTCATCAGTTTGGTTTGAACCACAACAACAAAAAAGGTTTAAGTTGGAGGCTGGCTGGTCAGAGATATTGTAATATTACAAGAAGAGTGAGTGTTGAGTTCAGGAATGAAGACAGAGAGAGTTTGAGTTGGCTAATGGGGCGATGGTTGAGGTAGAGAGTCAGGAGACCTCCCTTATGACAGAGGTTCTCAAACTTTTATGTAGTCAAAAATTACCCAGGAACCTTGGCACATTTACCCAACACATAGTATATATTAATAGATATCATTTCCTTCCTGAGAAGATAACCTTTGCAAAGGGCCTTAATATGTTGATCTAAAGAAATGAACACATAGGAATTTCCAGAAATATGAATGATATTTTAGTTGTTTTTTGATTATTTTAAATAAAGAGAAATTTCTACCTTTCAAGTCATACTATTGTACATATGCACTTATTTAATCTGTTAACTATAATACTGATTCTAATATTAAATTATGTAGGCTGGGATCTACCGTTTCCATGATCCAAAGTTAAGAATGTGAACTTTGGAACCAGAGAGCTTGGGTTTGCATTTTGTTACCCATGAAAGGTGATTTTGGGCAATTTAACCAAATGTCACTACCTAATCTCCTCTGTAAAAATGGGATAGTAGATATATGCACCTCCTATAGGATCTTGTCATGATATGATAACATAGCACTTGACACCTAGTACATGCTTAATAACTGTTGGTTATAAGTTTTATCCCTGGCTAGCCTTTAGGGGAAGGGACTTGTACCGAGAAGCTGCAGGAAGAGGTGCTGGTGAGTCAGAAGGTCATGAGTGGTTTCTTGAGTCAGGACAGGAGTAACATGCCAGTCTATGCCACAGCAGAAGCTCAGAGTAATACCCTGTGTGAAACTCAGCAAGGCTGCATGGCTGACAAGCAGGGGCCCCTTTTTTAAACCTTCTGGCTATTTGGTCAAGTTTCCAATTTGGGGAATTACAATGACCTGTGAAAGAATTCCCCTTCTATTCCAGTGTGTAGAGGGGACACACTGTGCTCCTTCTTGTGGCTAGAACAATCTTCTAAGAAACTATGTGGTCTGCAAAACAAGCTATCAAAGGCTGACAAGCTAAAAAGTCAAACTAACAACCAAGCTTCTTTCTGATCTCCTAGAGTTCAGGTAGTAACTGTCTGAGTTGATAAGTTTTCCTTGGCTTGACCAATCACTGATTTGGTTTTTTGTTTTTCAGCTTCTTGGCCTAGTCAATGCCTTCATCTTGATGGTCATTCAAAGCATAATAAAAGCTAACATTTGGTGAGACCTTCCCATGTGTCAACACTGTGCTTAGCTCTTGGAAACATAACCTCATTTAATCCTTACAGCATCACTTATGAAGAAGGTACTATTTTTATCTCCATTTTGTAGGTGAGGAAACTGACACTTGGATCAATGGGGTCATTTATTCAGGGGTACATTACTCCTGTTGTGTGTATTTTAAGGTGACTTTAAAGCTTAAAAATTTTATTGTCATAATCAGTTCATTCGAAATAAAGAAGACTAAGATGTGTGAAATAATTGAAGAATACAAAAAAACAAACAGCTGGACTAGCATGGGAGACCTGTGGTCTTCACGGAGGGCAGACATAACCTGGGAGTTGGTGGAATGGTATTTTAAAATTAAATTTGTTAGGGTGATATTGATACATGATATAAGTTTTAAGTGTACAATTCTATAACTCATTATCTGTATGTTGCTTTGTATGTTTGTCACCCAAAGTCAAATAATCCATTACCATATATTTGACTCCCTTTACCCTTTACTATCTGCTCCCACATGCCTTTTCCTCTGGTAACCACCACATGCCTACCTGTGTCTATGAGTTTTTGATTGTTTCTTTGTCTTGTTTCATTTGTTCATTTGATGCTTTCAGTTTTATATCCCACATATGAGTGAAACCATATAGTTCTTGACTTTTTCTGTCTGACTTATTTTGCTTAGCATATTCTCAAGATCCATTTATATTGTTACAAATGGCAATACTTTATCTTTTCTTAAGGCTGAGGGGCATTGTATCACATCTTTATCCAATACTCTATAGAAGAACATAGGTTGTTTCCATGTCTTGGCCACCATGAACAATGTTATAATAAACGTAGGGGTACATATATATTTGAAAATGAATGTTTTAAAACTTTTGGGGGGCAGGTACCCAGAAGAAGGTTTGCTGGATTATATGGTAACAATTCTTAATTTTTTGAGGGACCTTCATACTGTTTTCCATAGTGACTGCACTATTTTAAATTCCTACCAGCAATAAATGGGGGTTCCTTTTTCTACACAATCTCTCCAACACTTGTTGTTGCTTGTCTTGTTGATAATAGCCATTCTAACAGGTAAACTACTCATTATAGTTTTGATTTACATTTACCTAATAGCTAGTGAGGTTGAGAATTTTTTCATATAGCTGTTGGCCATTTGTATGTCTTCCTGGGAAAAGTGTCTATTCAGATCCTCTCCCCATTTATTTATTTATTTTTTTAATTGTGTATATATATATATATATATATATATATATATATATATTTTTTTTTATTTTTTTTTTTGAATTAGCCACTTACTGGAGGTATTGTTTGCAAATATCTTTTTTCCATTTGGTTGGTTGCCTTTTTATTTTGTTGTTGGTTTCTTTTGCTCTGCAGAAGCTTTTTAATTATTTTGATTTTTTCTCCCTTTGAGATAAAATTCCTCCCTCAGACCACGGTTCATAAACAGACACACAGACTAATGAAAAGAATTGAGAGCCCAAAAATAAACCCACAGTATATGTGGTCAAATACTTTTCAACAAAGGAGTCAAAAATATACAATGGAGAAAAAAGAAATCCTTTTCAATAAAAGGTGCTGGGAAAATTGAAAAGCCACTTGCAAAAGAATAAAACTAGACTGTAATTTGTTGCCATGTACTAAAACTAACTCAAAATGGATCAAAGACCTAAATATAAGACCTGGACCAATATATAAAGAAGAAAACATAAGACAAAACTTATGGAACTTCATCTTATCAGGATGGTATTCTGATGGATGAAGAAAAGGGAACAAGAGGATTCTACCTGAGGTGGGATGGAAAGGAAGGGGCTAGGATTGGGGAGACAGAGTGAGTAGACACCTTCATATCATATTAAAGTGAATATGGCAGAGCAAGTGTTACTTTAGGAATAAATAATAAGTTTCTGCATTATCAAATAGTATTCATTTTATCTTTCTGAAGAAACAAAAAAAAATGGTTATTTAAATTAATGCTTGTTTTCTATGTCTGAATTCTAGGGAAAGGGGGCACAATTGATATTACTGATGGGAAAATATACATTTTTTTGTACTTAAAGAGGTGGGTGGAAAAGAGAGCCAATCATTTCAGCAGGGACATAAAGTTTTTAATGAGCAAATGGAATGCCTCAGTTGAGTAGGGACTCAAAGCTGAGGAAGGGGCCAAATGCAAAACGAAGTGAGGAGGTGAGTGAGTAGGGCTGAGAGTGGTGAGGTAAAGAAGAGAAATTATATCTGTGAAGGAGGGCAAGGGGCTCTGGAAATAGGCTGGAGGGAGAAGATGAAGTGAGTGTGCAGGTTGGCATCAGCACACTTTCTCTAAGTCCCTCTAGCACTGAACTTACAATATTTAGTAATATACCTATTATCTTTGGCAATGGATTTAGGATGTGGGATTCACATAAAAGGGATGAGTTCCACATTCGTTTCTGTCTAGAGGAGAATCATGAAGACAATTGTAGAAACTAAGACTCAAGGGAATTGTGAACTCAAGGAGTGCTGGTGTAGGAGCCTACAGTGGCCAGTGCAGTCTGAGTAATCAAAGACTTCTGAGGGACCACTGGCCTTCCACAGAATGTAGAACAGATATAGAGCCATTAAATAAATCTCAATGATAAGGAGACTTAGGTTAGCACTTTTCCTTTCATATATGTATCAATAAGGAAATTTCCTATAATGTTCAGTTATTAGTCACACAAAGTAACTGCTGCTTTGGTCTTGCTGTGGTTTCTTATACATGCTGGCCCTAATGAAAAGTCAGTTAGAAACAGATACTCTCTGGGAGTAACTGATACTTTCATTATTTATGGTTTAGTTTCAGAGTATATATGGCCTCCTTCCCTTTCTCTTTTTATTGCTCTCACCAGTATTTGAAATTTGGTATATACTATAACTACTTACATAATGGTCAATTTTGTGATTTCTATTTTCCCCAGAGACTTATAGGCCAAAAAAGAAAACACCATCTTTTTCTCTCTTTTTGCTCCTCGAGTTTTTCTCCTATGGTTCCAATACTTCTCATCACCCTGTGGTAAGCAGAGTCATGGGCATAAGCTCACCCTCCCAGCACAGCTCTGTGGTTGAGCTTCTCACACCTCTGCTAACAATTGATGTGACAGCTCCAACCTTTCCACAAAGTTTTGAACCATTGACCAATCTCTGCCACCCTCACCTGCTACACTCACCCAAACCTGAATTATTCTGAGAACTGTTGATTCAGACTTCAAATGAGGATACACAAATAGATAAGAATAGAGCTAGAGATACTCACAGCTCAATTCTCAAGAGAAAAACAACACTGAAGTAGGTTATTATTATTTCTACTTTACAGAATAGAAAATTAAGGCTATTTCTGCCTAATAGGAGGGTCAAGAGGACTAATGGTTGGCAGAAAAGAGAATACTGTTAGCATTCTACCTATTAAATCTCCCCACATGGGGACTCTGTGGTGAGCCTGCCACCCTCACCCCAGCAGCCATGAGATGGTCTCTTAAGCAAAGCCCTCACCTTATGAAGAGCACTTCGGGTATCTTTAGAACTCAGCTTCTAAAGAAGTTCCTCCACAAAGAACTTCTTCTTCATAGATTCTCAGCAGAGTTCACATATCCCGGCTACCTTGAAAAGGGCTCAGGCAGCAACCTGGGCCTGCAGGTGAACATGAGGGACTAAGAGAAACAGAAACAATGGGACCTGCTACACAGGACACACTCAGCAACCCTTGTTCCCATCACTGGATCCTTGCTTGTAAAGGCAGTTAAACTAGCCAAAGGAAGATGTGGTCAGTGGATGAGCTGGTTTTCAGTTGGCCTTTTGGTTTCCATAGGTATCTTGCTTCATTTCATTGCCACCTGATAACAAATAAAGCACAAAATCACTTTCTGACTCTTTCAACATGACTGTACTTTTAAATAATTTATAGGAATTTAGGATCCCAGAGAGGAAATATATTTAGTACAAGAAAGAAATACACAATTTGCTATTAAGGAATATTTCTTGAGGCCCTGTATGTGCCAGGAGCAAGCTACCTTTCCTCTTTGATTGTGCTTTTAGATGTCTAAAAGAAAAGTGCCAGGGCTGACTGACAGACCCTGAATGATGGATGAATGATTACTCTAACACACGCTTCTGTGAAAGAGAGGGCTAAGGCACTACTTGGCTATTGCTGCCAAGTAGCCCTGTTCACCTGCCTCTTTTGGCTTTTATTGTCATAACAGCTTGAACTAAAATTAAGCTCTAGATACAATTAGCAGGCTGAGTATCCTTGAGAAAGTATATGCTTCTACAAGGTTGGGTCTTTAAAGACTAAACATAGAGATTCTAGCAAAACACTCTGGGAATTGGACTTGTTTGGAAAAGTCAAGGCAGGGGCTGTGGCCTTTGGCAAGGTCTCCTCAGAGGCTCCCAACCTTTCAGAGAATCCTCCCCACAGACATTCTAACCAAGTCCTGTGCTTCCCCACAGAAAAAGAACCAAACTCTCTATCTCTCAGGGTACCTATAAAAGTTTATCAAGTCATAAAGAGTCTGGGAGCTGAAAAGATATATTAAGTAATTTAATCTGTCGGAGATACCAAGATGGCAGCATAACTGCAGCCTCACTCAACAATTTCAAAAAATACAACTAAAATATAAAGTGGACATTATCCAGAACTATAGGAAAGTTGACTGACTAGAAATTCTACAACAAGAAGGAAAGAGAAAACCAGAAGGAAAATCAGAGGAGCTGTAAAAGCGTAAGGTACAGAAATACGTTGCATGTGCAGAGAGGACAGAGCCGGAGAGGAGGGGCAGCTGAGTGCCTGGCTGGAGTTCCCTAGCAGGAAGGAGATAAAAGCTCCGGACTGTGCTGAACCCCAGTTCGGACAGCACTGAACCCCAGTTCTGAGAGAGACCCTGGGGACCCAGGCTCATACAGAGGGAATCTGGGCTGTAAGGCGAAAGCTCAGGGAAGCTGCGAAAGGCAGAACCCTGGCTTCGCGCACATTTCGCACAGAGGACTGACTGTTGACTGTGCTACTAGATTGCCCTAGTGGGAAGGAGACAAAAACTCCGGACTTTGCTGAGCCCCAGTTCTGACAGCACTGAACCCCAGTTCTGAGAGAGACCCTGGGGACCCAGGCTCATACAGAGGGAATCTGGGCTGTAAGGTGGAAGCTCAGGGGAACGGCAAAAGGGAGAGCCCCTGAGTCATGCACATTTCGCACAGAGGACAGACTGTTGATTGAGCCGCTGGATTGTCCTAGCAGGGAGACATAAGCTCTGGACTGCTCTTAACCCCACTTCCAACTACACTGAACCCCAGTTGCGGGCTAGTTGGGGGAGAGACTAGACTGTCTGGTAGTGGGAGAAACTCTAGTGCACCTTTCTCTCAGAGGTGCTTCCAGCAAGTACCAAAGGACACTGAGGAACACTAAGACTCAGGAACCTCATAGGGTGGAGCTAACCAGAAGCCAAGGCTGTAGGAAACTCCGCCTCATCCAAGCTGAGCACAGAGGCTCTTGCAGTTTTCCAAGTCTAGTTGAATAAGGCTGTCTCCTGGCATAGATACAGCTGATCCTCTCACCCTACCAACTCAGGGAAGCAGTGAAAATGCCCAGACAAGGAAACAGATCACAAATGAAAGAAATGGAGGACAAAAAGCGACTGGATATAGAGTTCAAAACCATGCTTATAAGGTTTTCAAGAATCTCCTAGAAAAGGCCGATAAAATAAACAAGACCTATGAAAATATGAAAAGGGATCAACTAGAAATAATAAAGGATCAACTACAAATAATAAGGTATCAACAAGAAATAATAAGGGATCAACAAGAAATAAAGAATACATTCTCTGAAATAAAAAATATTATACAGAGTCCTAAAAACAGAATGGAAGATTGCAAGAATCAAGTCAAAGACTTGGAACACAAAGAGCCAGAGGACACTCCTCCACAGAAGCAAGAAGTCAAGAGAATCCAGAAAGTTGAAGATAGTGTAAGAAACCTCTGGGACAACTTCAAGCAAACCAACAGAATTATGGATGTCCCAGAAGATGACAGAGAGCAAGATACTGAAAACATATTGAAAAAAAAGTGACAGAAAACTTCCCCCACCTGGGGAAGGAAATAGACTTACAAGTCCAGGAAGCACACAGAACCCCAAACAAAAGGAACCCAAAGAGGACCACACCAAGACACATCATAATTAAAATTCCAAGAGCAAAAGACGAAGAGAGAATATTAAAAGCAGCAAGAGAAAAGCAGGTAGTTACCTATAAAGGAGCACCCATACGATTGTCAGCTGATTTCTCAACAGAAACCATGCAGGCCAGATGGGAATGGCAAGAAATATTCAAGGTGATGAATAACAAGAACCTACCGCCAAAAATACTCTACCCAGCAAAGCTATCACTCAGAATCTAAGGCCAGATAAAGAGCTTCACAAATAAAAAAAACCTAAAGGAGTTCATCACCACCAAACCAGAATTATATGAATTGCTGAAGGGGGTTCTTTAGGAAGAGGAAGAAAATAAAGATAAAAATTATGAACAACAAATATGTAACTATCAACAAGTGAATCTAAAAACCAAGGGAATTAAAAAATCTGATGAACAATATTAACTGTTGAATATAATAGAATCAGAGGTATGGAAAGGGAGCGGACTGACAATTCTTGGGGAAAAGAGGGGAGGGGGGTGGGGGAAGAGACTGAACATAAACTGTGCACCTATGGATGAAGAAAATGGGGGATGGGGAAAGGGCAGGGCAGAGGGTGGGGTGGGAACCTGGTGGAGGGGAAAAAATGAGGAACATTTGTAATAATATGAACAATAAAGATTTATTTAAAAAAATAAATAAAGTAATTTAATTTGTCAAGGACTGAGGCAACATGCCTATCTGACGTACAAGTCTGACATTTGTTTCCAGCTTCCCTTTTCTGAAAATGTGCTCCCACTCAGTGGTTTCTTCTGCACACTTCAGGCATCAAGTATCTGTATATCTTGTCGAGTGCACTGGCTATCAAGAAAATGTCAGTAGAAATCATTTCTGGGTCTATAAGAATAAGAAGATTCCTGTTCCTCAAAGAATAAGTGTCTTTGAACAGGTATGGAGTCACTGGATAATCAAGCTATATTTTCCAAGAGCATAATTTTTTCTCCATAATAAATCATTTCAAACATTGTTTTTATATTTAAAAATACTTGGCTGTATCAGGAAGTACAATGCTCTGAATGTTCTGGCTCATCATACATTTATTTATTTATTTATTTATTTATTCATTCATTCATTCATTCATTCATTCATTTATTTCTCCTAGCAAAGTTTTATTTTTTTTCTTTATACATCAGTATGTAAAATTCCGCAGTATTACTATATTCTTCATAATAATAAAAAACTTTATTTTTATTGAGATAACATTGATTAACAAACCATCCAGGTTTCAAGTGTGCAACTCAACAAAACATCATTTGCATACTGCATCTTGTGCTTAACTCCCCAAACTAAAATCTCTTTCCTTTCTCATTTATTTCCCTTTTGCCCACTTCCACCTACCCCACTTCATCTGGCTATCAGCATACTGTTTTCTATGTCTCTGTGTATATAAATTTTGTTTAATCCCTTCACCTTTTTTTCACCCAGCCTCCCAAACCATCCCCCACCCCTCTGTTAATCTAATCTGTTCTATGTATCCATCATTTTGTCTGTATTTTTTTTGTTAAATTATTTTGTTCACTAGAGGCCCAGTGCACAAAATTTGTGTGTACGGGGTGTGTGTGTGTCTCTCAGCCCAGCCTGCACCCTCTCCAATCTGGGACCCCTTGAGGGATATCCAACTGCCCATTTAGGCCCAATCCTGGTCCTGGTGGGATTGGGCCTAAAGGGGCAGTTGGATATCCCTCTCACAATCTAGGACTGCTGGCTCCCAAGCACTCACCTGCCTGCCTGATTGACGCCTAACTGCTCCCTTGCTGGCCCAATTTCCCCTAACTGTTCTCCCCTGCTGGTGTGGTTGCCCCCAACCACCTTCCCATGCAGGACTGCCCCCCACCCCCAATCAGTCTTCCCCTACAGGCCTGGTCACCCCTAACTGCTCTTTCCTGCTGGCCTGCTTCCCCGCAACTGTCCTCCCCTACAGGCCTGGTTGCTTCCAACTGCCTTCCTCTGCTGGCCTGGTCCCTCCCAACTGCCCTCTCCTGCTAGCCATCTTGTGGTGACCTTTTTGTGTCCACAGGGGGGCTGCCATCTTTGACCACATGGGGGCAGCCATCTTGTGTGTTGGAGTGATGGCATATTACTCTTTTATGAGATAGGATTAGAGTACAGATATAGGTGAGACCATATGGTATTTTTCCTTCTCTGGCTGGCTTATTTGCTTAGCACAATATTCTCCAGGTCCAGCCAAGCTGTCACAAAAGGTAAGATTCTGTTCTTTTTATGGCCAAATAGGATTCCATTGTGTAAGCTTCACCCCTTCCCCACCCCCCACCCCCATCTACAATACTTACTGATGGGCACTTGGGCTGCTTCCAAATCTTGGCTATTGTAAATAATGCTGCAATGAAGATATGGATGAATATATTCTTTAAAATTAATTTCAGGTTTCTTAGGACATATTCTCAGAAATGGCATTGCTGGGTCAAAATGCAGTTTCTTTTTTAATTTTTTGAGGAAACTCCATACTGTTTTACACAGTGGTTGCACCAGTCTGCATTACCACCCACAGTGCATGAGGGTTCTCTTTTCTCCACATCACCTCTAGCACCTGTTATCTCTTGACTTATTGATAACTAGAGGCCCATTGCATGAAATTTGTGCATGGGGGAGAACCTCAGCCTGGCCTGCAACCTCTCTCAATCTGGGACCTCTCAGGGGATGTCTGACTGCCAATTTAGGCAGGATCCCTGGCCTAATCTGGGACCACTGGCTCCTAGCTGCTTGCCTGCCTGCTTGACCCTAACCACTTGCCAGCTTGTCCCATCACCACTAACCACTCACCTGCCTGCCTGATCACCCCTAACTACCTCTGTCTCGGCCCTGCCCCCACCTGCCCTGGCAGCCACCCCTGTTGACGCTGCTTCATTTGGAAGGTTGTTCGGAAGGACATCCGAAATGATATTCATTCGGCTGTCTGGTCTCATTAGCATATTACACTTTCATTATTATAGATAGCTTTTCTGACAGGTGTGAAGTGATACCTCATTGAATTTCTCTGATGATTAGTGACACTGAGTATCTTTTTATATGCCTATTGGTCTGTACTCTTTG